AGTTTGGCCATCTTGGCCTCCAAGGAGCACTCTGGCTGCACTTCTTCCAAAATGGATCTATTGGTTCTTTTGGCAGCCCATGGCACTTTTAGTATACTCCTCCAACACCAAATAAAAGGGATATCAAAATATTTGTTGGGAGATATCAAAATATTTGTTAGGAGAATGTCATTCAGCTGTCATAGGACTGATGATATGTACCTAATGAGCAGTTTATTGTTGTTGTTATGTGCTGTGGAGTCGGTTCTGACTCATAGCGACCCTGTACAGGGTTTCTGAGGCTGTAAATCTTTACGGGAGCAGAGACCCTTATCGTTCTCCCACGGAACAGCTGGTAATTTCGAACTGCTGACCTTGAGGTTCACAGCCCGATTCGAGCTCCTTATGGAACAGAGCAAATTAAGTTGTCGGGTATGGCATTGTAGGATGCACACTTAACCATACGGTTGGTTTGAAACAAAGTCCGTGGTTCAAACTCACCAGCTGCTCTTTGGAAATCCTATCCAAGGTCGCTAGTGTACTATATTTGGTCAATCATTTAATTAACTTAGCCCAAGTGTGATGGCTGGAACTGCGGTTGCCTTGGCAGGGCCAGAATAAATGATTACCTGGGCCTTCTACGGCTTGTGGGGGTCCTGATGTGGTGCTCTGAGTTAATGCCCTGGACTACAAAGTTGGTTTGAACCACAAGGTCGACAGTTCAAGCTTACCAGCTACTTCCTGGAAACCCTGTAACAGGGTCACTATGGGTTGGAACCGACTCAACAGCATTTAACTACAACAACATATGGCTCGCGGCCCGACGTTACCCACCTCTGCGCTAGAATATTGGAACATCTCTGATGGCAAAATAAAACTACTGAGGCGTTAGTTATTACTTCTTTGAGCTGATACCTGGGAGCGCCAGGCCACCAGGGCAAGCCCAGTTATTGGTGTTTTTTACTCTGTGGGAAGAACTAAACATCTCTGTGTTTGTTTGTTTTTTTGTGTGTGTGAAGGTTCAAGACATGGAAGCTACGAGCTCTGAATGAAGGCAAGACAAGCATACATCCACCGTATACTTTGGGTCAATTGGTTCCTGAGAGGCCCAAGCCCACCCCAGTCCTTGTTCCTCTCATCTCACCACCAGTGTCCCCCAGCAGCCTTGCATCTGACAACACCTCAGGCCACAGCCGACCAGATGCCAGTGACCCACGGAGTTCTTATGATATCAGCAATCGAGACTATTTCTTCCCCAGATAAGCCAGCTGGGGTAGCGTCAGAGAAGTTGGAGCATCAGACATTCTAAATTGTGTATGAGGAACAGAAGCTGGCTTAGCAAACGGTGCTTCTTGATGCCATTCCAGCTTGTCTCAATTCATGAGGTCTCCAGCTTCACCCTTCCAGAAGGTTCTATACTGTGTGAAAATACATTTGCTGTTTAGAAGGAAGAGGTGATTGAGTTTCCATACCACCTTCTCCAATGCCCTACCTAAAAGGATTAGAATGAACTCAGGCCCATCCTGAAGAGAGAGGTATTCAAAACTCTCCTGGACTCTCTAGTGGGGAGAGGAGCCAGTATCATTGTGGGGGTCTTGGACCCCCTCCCTGGGTTTGGTATGGAGAAGCTGCCGGTTACCCCACCACATTTCGTCCATAAGCTGCGTCCCTCTTTTCCCTCAGATAGGTAGAGTTGACTTCTAGCCAAAGACTTCCCCTAGTCCCTGTAACCCCCCAGACCGCTGCATGATTTTCATCTTCTAGCTCAAACTCTTGAAACCCAAGTGCCTTCATGATTCAATTTTTCTAGGCCTGAAGATAGCTTTCACTTAAACAACTGAGGCTGAGGGATAAATCTCTTGTTTCCTGCCTTTCATCCACATACCCGGAAAAACAGTTGTGGTGGGGTGAGGGGGGCTTGGGAACAGTATCTCAGGGCCTGTTGCTTTTAAATGCAATGATCATGTGGTTCTACGTTAGCATTTTACAAAATGTGAATGATATTCCTAGGCACTTGCCGTATATGGAAGAACTGTACTGGCTTGATTTTCCTCTTTGGTTCCAGGACTTCAGGAGAGAAGCTGAGAGGAAGGGGACGAGTGGGGGACATGGTCTCTATGCTCTCTTAGAGTAGCAGAGCTAAGGAGGGTGGCTTGTCATCTTCTGAAAACCAATGCCTCTCACTCACCCCACCCAAACCCTGACCAGGAGAATTGACATCAGGGAGGATTTCTATCCTTGCTGAGATCAAAACAGTTTTACCCTAGCTTTGTTTCTTTGTTTAGATGGAACCTGAGTAACCAGTGAAGATAAGATTTATGTGAAATGGGGTGTAAAAAGAACCAGGCAAAAATAATTTTAATTTGTTTTTTTTTTTAAAAAACCACAACAAAAACAAACCAACACTGTTTATTTTATCTGAGAGGATGTAAATTCCAGTATTAGCTGAGTGTCAGCATATAAATAACTTGGTGAAAAGCACAATGACTTTGTTTCGCACAAAACTGAGTCAAGTGATTAAGGAGGTGGAGAACAAATATTTTCTTCTTTGAGATAAGAGATCCTGGTTTCAGTCTGTTTTCTGTTTTTCTTTTAAAAAGTGAAAGAAATAGTCACCTCCTTTTCTAACTTTAGGGGGAAAGCAGTTTGCTCCTACTCCCACTGATGACTATGCAGGAAATGGTGTCAGGCTCTCTGAGACTAGGAAGCCCACCTCCCACCATTACTAGGAAGGGTCAGTAGAAAGTCCCCACCCCTGAAAGCCAGGAACCCTCTGTTACCATAAGTCACCAGTGTACCAGTTGTCAAATTGACTCCAACTTATGACAACCCCATGTGTGTCAAAGTAGAATTGTGCTCTATAGGGTTTCCAATCACTGATTTTTGGACGTAGAAAGCCAGGCCTTTCATCCTAGGCACCTCTGGGTAAATTCAAACTGCCAATACCTTTTTGTGTTGGTCCAAGTGCATTAACCATTTGTTACTACCCAGACATTTAATTACCAAAAGTAGGTTCATTATAAAAAAAAAACCCATACCTTGGTGCCTTCCTCTTTTTCTTTCTTTCCCGGAATTTGACTCAGGTCAGCTAACACAGGTATCTAGCAGTGATGCTGCAATCCCACTTCAGCTCCCTTGATTGTCTGAGCTCTGGGAATTTAGCCATGTCAGTGGTTACCCAAGTGGCATGGGGTATCCCAAAGTGGAACTATGAGAAAATCAGTCGTAACCACTGATCAGAAACTGACCAGACCACAGAATGTTTCTGGCTGTCTCTCTTCTTAAAAAAAAACCAACCATCACCACCAGACAGGTAGCAGTGATAGTGTTTTCTTTACTGTTGTCCAGGTTCAGACTGTTATTATCTTAGGTAAGTAGTGATTTTCATTGCTGACGTTGTAAATTTTAGAGACTGTTGCTCCTCTAAGGTGCAGTGGTTGCAGTGGTTGAGTGTTTGGCTGCTAACCAAAAGATCGGTGATTTGAACCCACTAACCACTTCATGGGAGAAAGATGTGGCAGTCTGCTTCCATGATGAGGACAGCCTTGGAAACCCTAGAGGACCGTTCCGCTTTGTCTTATAAGTTCGCTGTGAGTCAGAATCACCTCTATGGCGACGGGTTAACGGATTACTCCTGGCAGCACATAATCTTACATTTGCAAAACTTAGATGGAAAAAAGGGCAGGTGTTTGTCTTATTTTATTTTTGAGTATATAAGGTTTCTGGGACTTGAGAGCAGCAAAATTGCTGTTAAAGGGAAATACTGAGAATGAGATTCTACATGAGAAAGGGTGAGTCTGCGCCCACATTTTTATTATTTTTTTTCTTTACAAGCCTTTACCCACATGTAATATTACCAAAGTCAGTCTCAGCTAGCAGGAGATGTAAAATCCAGATAGCTCATTGTCACAGAGAGCTAGGCAGCTTTGATCTTTAAGTTGTTATTGCTTTCACTATTATTGTAACGGAACTGCCTTTTTTTTTTGGTATTGAAGAGGGTTTTTTCCCCCTTTGTTTTTTAATAAGCTAGTGTAAATGAAGGAAAAATGTTTGTCTTCTCTGGGTTGTAGGCCTTGGTCAGAGTACACAGTATGTACTCAAAGCTTTCTCCGTCTTTGAATTTGTGGTGACCACATGTGTGTTGTAACTCACAGGTCATTCTTACCTGTGTTTATGCAGCCTATATACTGCCTTTTATCCTCAGTGGTGATGTTACTCACCTAACAGCTGTAGCAATCTGCCACACAGCCAGATGTGAAATGTTAAGAGAGAGACAATTAAGCTTGAAAGCTTATCCTGTTGGGTGGGGAAAATTTTTAAATATGCTGGCTCAAGGTTTAAATTAAGGTGCGTGATAATTCCTGTAGCATTAACAATATTTTTTTTTTTTTTTAATCTGCAAGAAGTAGCATTGGTTGTGTCTGCAAAGCCTTTGGTGGCTCTGCAAGGTCTTGACTCTGATAGGACCTTGGTTTTGAGATTTGTTTGCCAGGCTGCGGCTCTGCTGCATCTTTGTCATCTTCCTGCTATCCTGTGGAAAAGGGCACACACCCATGACAAAGGTGTGGAGTCTGCACCCTGGCCATTGAACCGTGTTGGGAGCCTTCCAGGTGGTGAATGAAGCTCCATGGGGCACATTGGGAGTGGTCATTGCCAGCAGGTTTCTTGAAGAACATTCAGGAATGTCTTGTCTGGCCACTTTCGATGTTGAGCTTCAGCATTTCTTCATGGGTCCTGCTGAAGGTTGAGCCAGTCAGGAAAGATTCCAACATCCAACTGCAAGGTGTTGTTGTTGTTGTTGTTAAGTGCCATCGAGTCGGTTCCGACCCATAGCGACCCTGTACAGGTGTACCATATCCTAATTTGGAGAGGTATCCGTGAAGAGATAAGCACCTTATCCAGCTTTCCCGGGCAGTAGTTGCTGAAAGGGACTAGCCAACGGGTTCAGGTTCTGTGCCAGATGCTCCTGAGCGCCCCCTAAGGGTCCTTCCACCACCATGTCCTCCGTGTGGACAGGCGCCAGCTCCAGGGAGTTTCTATGGCAACCTTAATGATTATTAGGGAACATTGTCAGTTTCATGAGCATATGTTCCAGCTAAGATCTACTTTAGGATGAAAGGATTGGAACAGCATGTAGCAAGGCTGTTAATTAATATAAAGAGCTTACTTGGATGGAGATCGCACATCTGTTAAATAGAATACCTCAACTATATATACGTTGTCTTATTTTGAGAGAAAGAAATAATAGTTTAAATATGTATGTGTATGTGTGTATGTTTACCGAATTACCTGAATGTAAATCCAAAGGTTGATGTCTGTATATGGGGCAAAGGGTCAGTACAGTATGTTTTTTTCAATGTTATCTCTTTTTAACCAGCTATTTTGCATTTAAAATAAAATTGTAAATGTTTGAAATAAAATAAAAATTTATAAATATGCTTGAGATGTAGTTATGCTTTGCCTAACTGAGTCATTTAAAGGAAATATTTGAATGATTAATGAGGGGGAAAGAATGAAAAAGGATGACGAATTAAGTTGACTTTGGGGATGGGCCTCTCCTTAATGCAGGATTAAAGTACCTTTGGGGGGAAAATCAGGAAAGCTCAAGAAATAGGTAGTGATTTCTCAAAAGGCTTTTGCCAAATGAGTCCTGGGGTTTCTGGAGAAGGGGGTGGGTGTTTTTGCCCTGTTTTACCCTCAAATGATGTGCATGTGGGGGAGGAAAAGGGAGGAATGTTCACTAGAACAACGGCTATAGAGTCAATTCTGATGTTAGAGGACAAAGTAGAACTGTCCCATAGGGTTTCCAAGATGAGTCTTTATTGAAGCAGACTGTCACATCTTCTGCAGAGTGGCTGGTGGGCTTGAACCACTGACCTTTCAGTTAGGAACCAAATGCTTAACCACTGTGCCACCAAGACTTCTGTTCTTCATGAGAAGACTGTTTACTGGGCGGGGTGGTCAGTAATGGCATCACAAAGGCAAGCCTGCACCCTCGACTCTTATACTGAATCAGCGCTCTGTTGAAAAAGTTCCTAGCAGGAACAACTTGAAGCCAAGCCATCCACATCTTCATGCATAAGAAAAGCCATCATGTGGATGTTTTGTAGACAGGTTGGTGTGAAAACAGTTCAGGGTCCAAGAGGAAAAAATTGCAAGAAAGTCTGGAAATTGTTTAACTCAGGTCCCTGCCTCTTGGGGATTCAGAGAAGAGGCACACACCTACAGGGCCTCCCATCTCATTCAGGACATGTCCTTTTCCA